TGAAATATGTCAATTGGTATACCATCTATTCCTGGGGCCTTATTTTTTGCTATTTCCTTCATAGCAGCTTGAACTTCTGCCTTCATCACTGTAGGCTCTGGCTCAAATGCTATTTCATTAAATTATTTTGTATCTTCCAATTCCTTTCGGTACAATGACTCAGTATATTCTTTCCATCACCACAATTGGGTTCCAGCACATCCCGATACTACAGTCCCATTTTCTCCTTTCATTTCCCCTTCCCTGTTCTTTTATTGTATGTAAAGTAACTGGTGCATATGCACATGTATATTGCAGGTTTGGGTTTTTTTGTGGTTTTTTTAAAATAAACTAATTGGCCAATGGTATGTTTTCATCAACATCAAGTGCAGATGTTGTCGTTGTTGTTGTTATGTGTCATCAAGTCACCTGCCACTCATAGCGACCCTATGTACAACAGCAGTAAACCCTGCTCTATCCTATGCCAATCGCACTGTCTCATACACACCCACCGCCATTACCCCAGTCACTGAATCAATCCATCTCATGGAGGGTCTTCCTCTCCTGTGCTGTCCCTCAACCCTCCAAAGTATGACGTCCTTCTCCAAAGACTGGCCCTGCCTTGCAACATGTCCAAAGCATGTCAGATGAAGCTTCAGAATCCTTGCCTCCAAGGAGCAGCCTGGTATAACCCTCTCAAGGACAAACCTGCTAATTTTCTTAGCAGTCTGTGGTATATTCAATCTTTTTCTCCAGCACCACAGCTCAAAGGCATCAATTCTCCTTCTATCCTCCCTAGTCATTGTCCAGCTCTTTGATGTATCGCAAGTGATTGCAAAGACCATGGCCTGTATCAGGTGCACCTTAGTCTCCAGAGTGACACAAGGATGGAGAAATATACTGGTTCTGTGAAAATCCCCTCGTCTCCCTAAGTAGCATGTTCACTCAGCTCTTATCTTTATAGTCCAATAAGTTATTTTGTTCTCACTGTTTAACAAAAAAGAGCATAGAATGAAATCCTTACATACCTTGTTTGACTGGGGGATTTTAATGTTTTTTTGTTTATTGTTGTAAAACCAAGGATAATTTTATAACTTTTTTTGTTCATAGCTTACATGTAGGGCAAGTAAATTTCTTCAAGTAAATTACTCTAAAAGAAATGAATCCTGATTAGCTTTTTCCTTCAAGTCAAGCATCTTGTTGTTTAAATACACTTCTTATTTAAAATGAAAAAAGAAAAGAATACAAAATTCTTAATTGGCTTATTTAAGTTTAATAGTAAAAGATTGGTTAATGATAGCAACACACCTTAAAACCTTTCTTTTACACTTGGCGGGTTTTAGTTACTTGATTTTTTTGCTAACTTTTTATTGTGTTTTATGTAAACGTTTATTTAGCAGATTAGTTTCCAATCAACAGTTCATACTCTAAATGCTCTGTGACATTGATTGCAGTTCCTGCAATAATGAGTCAACTCTCTCACTGTTTTATCCTGAGTTATTAGATTTTTAAATCAATATTTTTTAAATGGATACAACTTGACCAAAAATTTGTCACAGAATTTTGAGACCCATCAAAACAAAATATAATGAGAAAAAAATTTTTAATAAAAAAGGAATACAAAAGTCTTACTACTGGACCAATAGGAAACATTGTGATGATGGAGAAAAAGAGTGAAGTCAACTATTTAATTTTTGGATCAGTAATCAACGTCTATGGTAACACCAGTCAAGAAATCAAAACTACATTTTGGACTGGGAAAATCTGTTGTCAAGGTCTCTCCAAAGTGATAAAGAGCAATGATGTCAGGTTTAAGACTGTTTAGGAGGAATATATGATTACGTATTTTTGTCATGACAGGAGTCCAGAATGAAAGCTGCATAGTGGCATGGATGGAGGGGACTGTATAACAATGAAAGAATTTTTTTTCTTTTTAACTTTTCTAAGAAAAAAGGGAACTAGGGGAGGGTGGTGGGTAGGAAGGAAAGTGTGCAACAGTGAATTAATGGAAAGCCAAAGTCTCTGTAAACTTTCATTAAAATAATAATAATAATAATAATAATAATAATAACCAAGTTATGCCTGAGCCAAACCATAGTATCCTTTCAATTGCTTCCTACGCATCTGAAAGTTGACAGTGAATGAGGACAATAGAAGAAAAATTGATGACTTAGACTCATTTCCTTAGAGGGTGGGTCAACTGTGATTTGGTTCTGAGTTGATGTCACACAATAATCACCTTACCTAAAGGACTCTTTCTCTCTTTCTTTAAGGAGCTCTGGTAGCATAGAGGTAAGCAATTGCCAACCGGAAGAAACAGTTCAAATTCACCAGCTGCTCTGCAGGAGAAAAGATAGGCCTCTGAGACCCACGTGAGGGGTCAGTGATGGGTCAGTTCCAATTCAACAATACACAACAATCATCCCCAGACAATTTCTAAAACATGGCCCAGACAGGTACACATGTGTTTTTGTAGGGCTCAATACAACCAAGACAGGCAGGAAAAAAGTGAACCCCCTGACTGGACAATGTCGGGAGGCCCATCACTCCACTTCTCTTCCCTGTCCTCCACCCAGTGAGATGGGGGATTGCAGCAGTGACAGGTGTAGGTGACACCCACCCAAGGGAAGAACTGCTCCTCCCAGCAGCCAGCGCCACACCCAGGAGAGGCTCCTGGCTGCTGGTGAGATGCTGGGCTCTGGAGTAGCCCAGTGCCATAATCAGCATCCTTTCCCCACTACCTACCAGGCTTAATAGAAGTGAAAGGAAAATTCCTTTCTCCAAGGAAGGAGGAAAGGGTGCTGAATGAGGGGAAACAGTATAAATGGTTATGGGGTATCAGGTTTTGAATTCAGTTTATCTCAAGACATTGTTCTGTCTACTACCCAGTGTTGGATTCTTATGTCTCATAGTGACCTTCAAGGACAGAGTGGAACTAACTGCCTGAGAGAATTTCCAAAACAGTACCTTTTACAGGAACAAAAAGTCTCATCTTTCTCCGGGGGAGAAGCTGGGTGGAGCTGATTGCCACCCCTTCAGTTAGCAGAGATCCACAGGCCTTTCTCCCTCTAAGTACCTCCCGGTAGATTTGAATTGTAGATTTAGAGTTGATGGTTTCTTTTTCATGCACCACTCTTTAAATGGGCTGACTTCCTTCCCTAATGAACACCAAATACTTCATAGAGTACCTGAGCTCACAGATGATGCGCCATTCCAAATGTCTTTAACTTTCTTCTCTCTCTTCCAGAAGTTTGATTCAGTGGAAGACATCATTGAACACTACAAGTATTTTCCTATCACACTGATCGATGGCAAAGACAGAACAGGCATCCACAGAGAGCAATGCTTCCTGACCCAGCCTCTGTCCTTCTTCCCGCAGTAGCCAGCCATGGCCTCCCTCTATTTTCAGTGGACGACTCTGCTGCTTTGCGTTTACCACAAAAGATCATTTCCTGGAACTTCAAAAGATTACTTTAAAAAA